GACTACTTCCATCTAGAAGGCAGTAGATACATGGGAACACCACCACCTTCAAGTTCCCCTCCAAGTCACTCACCATCTTGAATTGAAAATATAGACAATAATGTTCTAAAGACATTAGTGTTCTAAAGAAGGGTCACTGGACCTGAAACAGTAACTGTGATTTCTCTTCACAGATGCTGCCAGATCTGCTGAGATTTTCCAGCAATTTCAGTTTTTGTTTCTGATTTCCAGCATCAGCAGTTTTTTTTTTGTTAAGAAATTAGTGTGTCTTTTATGCATGGGATGTCTTCCGACACCCCAAGGACTGTAGAAGTTCAAGAAGGTAGCTCACCACCACCTTTTCAGGCCAACTGGGGATGTGCAATAAATGCTGGCAAAGCCCACAACACTCACATCCTATAAACTAATACAAAAAAGAATCCTGCAAAAGCTATACTTAACAAGTACACTTGGTAACTGAAATAATTTTGAATGCAATTCTGCAGAAGTCATAGTGGCCTCACAGCACGTTTCTGTCACCACAGATGCTGCCAGACCTGCTGAGTTTCTTCAACACATTCTGATTTAATTTCAGATCACCAACATCTGCTGTAATTACAACAGTGAATGTCACTTCTTCTCGTCTTCTTAGATTTTCTGTATGAGACAGTTGAAGCGTATCCTTGAATCTCTCCGTAGCTGTTTTTTCCTGGAAGAGGTCACCACCCTGAAGCCAGTGGCTGTAGTTTGAGGGACTATACTGTGCATCAAGTGTGGCTGCCCTTGAGTCTCTCCTGCTCTTATTGTCTATCATTGACATGTTGGAAGGATTTGCACGTTGGCAAACAATCTGATTGGCTACGTTACTAATCCACATTTTGTCGTCATGCACTTGTCTAGTGGGACTCAAATCTAGAGCTTCTGGAATAGTAATAGGGATACTAACCCTGCACTAGAAGACATCTGTTGTATTGTTTTAGTTAGGAAATATCAAGCAAGTGTGTGTCTGAACATTATACAGAAACATATTTTAAATGTACTCTCAAAAACCAAGAGATTAAACTCCATACAATCCATGAGCACTGTACTTCCTCTGTGGTCATACCTATCTTTGTGAACTCCAGCTGTACAACCCTCCAAGAATTCTGTGTCTGTTGAAATTTGATCTCTTCTACTTTTTTTTTATTTTCCCCCTTATACTGGTGGCTGTACAAATTCTAAGTGCTGGAATTTCTTCTCTGAATCTCTTCACCTTCTTTTGACCCTTTTAAAAGTTGACTGTTTTTGACCAAGCTTTTTGGTAGTTCTTTATACAGCTTGGTGTCAGATCTTGTCTAATAACATCCCAAGCTACTTCACAGCGCGGATAAAGGATTAGCTGACTAATGGAAGAATCATAGAATCGTAGAATCCCTACAGTGTGGAAACAGGCCCTTCGGCCCAACAAGTCCACACCGAACAAAAACAGAAGTTGCTGGAAAAGCTCAGCGGCTCTGGCAGCATCTGTGAAGGAAAAAACAGAGTTAACACTTCGGGTCCGGTGACCCTTCCTCCGACCTGATGGTGGCTGGGAAAACGTCAGTTTATATGCAGAAAATAGGGAGGTGGGTGGGGTAGGGAGTAAACGATAGGATAGAGCCCAAAGAGAGAGAAAGACAGTTGGACAGACCAAGGAGTTGCTAATGATCAGACTGGGAGGGTGAATAGATGTTAATGGCGACTGTTAGTGACTAACAACAGGGGGTGTGTAATGGCAGGCTATGTGGTAACAAGGCCTGGTGTGTAGGGTAGGGGGCTGGGACAGGGAGAGTTTAGGCCCTAAAATTATTGAACTCGATATTGAGTCCAGAGGGCTGTAGGATCCCCAAGGAGAAAATGAGGTGTTGTTCCTCCAGCTTGCATTGGGCTTTGCTGGAACACTGCAGCAAGCCCGAGACAGAGATGTTGGCCAGGGAGCAGGGTGTGCGTTTAAGTGGCAGGCAACAGGTAGTTCAGGGTCTTTTTTGTGAGCAGAATGTAGATGTTCTGCGAAGTGGTCGCCAAGTCTACGCTTCGTTTCCCCAGAGTAGAGGAGACCACATTGTGAGCAGCGAATGCAGTAGACTAGATTCTGGGAAGTGCAGGTGAAGTGTTGCTTCACCTGGAAGATATGTTTGGGCCCTTGGGTACTGGGGAGGGAGGAGGTAAATGGGCAGGTGTTGCACCTTTGCCGGTTACAGGAGAAGGTGCCTTAGGGCTGTGGGGATGTGTTGAGGGTGGAGGAGGTGTGGACCAGTGTGTCCCGAAGGCAACGGTCCCTGCAGAAGGCGGACAAGGGAGGGGAGGGGAATGGAATATGTGTCTGACTGACCGAAGTCCACACCGACCCTTGAAGCATCCCACCCAGACCCAGCCCCTTAGAACCCACCTAAGATAGCAAAAACTTGGGAAAAGTGGGGTGTTTTCAGGTTGGCAATCTGTCATAGTATGATGGTTTGGGGTGGATGATTTAGGACGGAGATGAGGAGACATTTCTTCACCCAAAGTGTGGTGAGCCTGTGGACTTCATTACCACAGGAAGTAGTTGATGCCAAAATTGAATGTATTGAAGAGGCGACTAGATATAGCACTTGGGGCGAATGCAATCAAAGGTTATGGGGAGAAAGTAGAATTAGGCTATTGAGTTGGACGATCAGCCATGTTCGTGAAGAATAGCAAAAGAGGCTTGAAGGGCTGAATGGCCTCCTTCTGCTCCAATCTCCTATGTTTCTATGTAACTAATGAAGTGTCACAGGATCATTTAGCCAAGTTTGCAAATTACATTGAAATAGATGGGAGAGCAAGCGGTGAGGATGACACAGTCTGCAGAGAGATATAGACCAGTTAAGTGAGTGGGCAAAAATTTGGCAGATGGAATATAAATGGGGAAAATGTGATGTTGTGCACTTTTGCAGGAAGAATAGAATAGCTGAATATTATTTAAATGGAGAAAAACTGTAGAAAGCTACAGAACAGAGAGATTTGGGAGTCCTCATGCACAAATCACAGAAAGCTAACAGACAAGTTCAACAGGTAGCGGGGAAAGGCAAATGGAATGTTGGCCTTTATTTCAAAATGAATGGAACATGAAAATAGCGGAGTCATGGGAAAACTATACAAGCATTAGTCAGACCAAAGCTGGAGTACTACGAACAGTTTTGGTCCTTTAATCTAAGAACAGATATACTGGCAGGGGAGTCCAGAGAAGTTGCTCTCTGGTATGGAGGGACTATGGGGAGTGTTATGGGGAGAGGTTGAGAAGGTTAGGCCTATACTCATGGGAGATTAGAAGAATGAGAGGCAACCTCATGGAAACCTACAAGATTCTTATGGGTATATGCAGAAAGGTCGCTTCCCCTTTGCGAGAGTCTAGGATCAGAAGCCATAGTCTCAAAATGAGGGATCTCCCATGTAAGACAGAGTTGAGGAATTTCTTCTCTGAGCGTAATGCATCTGTAATTCTGTACTGAAAAGAGCTTTAAGGCTGTTTTGTTAAGTATACGCAAGGCTGAGTTAGAATGATTTTTAATCAGTAGGAGAATCAAGGGTTATGGGGAAAAGGGAGGAAGGTGAAATTGCTGTTTATCAGTTCAGCCATGATCTCAATGAATGGCAAAGCAAACTTGATGTGGTGAATGGCGTATTTCTGCTTCTGTCTAATGGTCGCAGGAGTGTTATTCTTCTGTTAAAGTGCTGTGTAATGCAAGGTGATATTGTTTGCAGTCTCATTCTACCTCCTGTCATCTGCAAATTTAGCAACTATAGATTGTAAGTTGTTGAGGCCGTAGCATGGATCCCTGGGTGACTCCACTAGTTACAGTTTGCCAACCTGAAAATGATCCTGTGTAACATGTAGGATTCCATGGCAAAAGGTGTTGGCAGTTCCAACATGCAATACCAATGTTTAAAGTCTGCACGTAACAAATTACTGATCTAGCTGCGAACTACACTATCAAAAAGCATCAATTTCAACAACATTTATTTAATTATTTAGTTTATAGTTTTGATTTAAAATGCTCTATATACAGTTTAGATTCAGAGATTTAATGCAAAGTAATCAAATTTGCAGATGGTGTCAAACTACAGCAGATGGTTAAATCAACTATTATATCTTGAATATTGTATCCAGTTCTGATTGGTGAGAAATAATAGATATTGAAATACCAATCAGAGCATAAAAAGAGCCCATGACTGCTCGCTGCTGTCAAAGGTTTGACTTGTGACAAAAGTCTAGAAAAATTTAAGCTTTTCAATCTGGAAAGGGGGAAATTGAGAGGAAATCTTGTACCACTGTATAATGACATGGTTAAAGGTAAATCCAGACTATTACTTCAAATTAAATTTTGATTTGAACATGTTAAAACTATTGAAGGATAAATGTTAAAACTTCTTCAGCCAGAGTAATTGTTTCATGGACTAGAATCGGAATCAGAATCCCTACAGCGTGGAAACAGGCCCTTTGGCCCAACAAGTCCACACCAACCCTCAAACATCCCACCCAGACCCATCCCCCTATAACCCACCAAATCTACACATCCCTGAACACTACAGGCAATTTAGCATGGCCAATCCACCTAAACTGCACACCTTTGGACTGTGGGAGAAAACTGGAGCACACAGAGGAAACCTATGCAGACACAGGGAGAACGTGCAAACTCCATACGGACAGCTGCCCGAGGGTGGAATCGAACCCAGGTCCCTGGAGCTGTGAAACAGCAGTGCTAACCACTGAGCCACTGTGCTGCCCAACAAGACTAGATTGCTATATGCTGAGATGGAGGTGATAATCTGGAATCTTTCAGAAACCATTGGATGTGAGGAGTCTTTCTGCTTGAATGAATTAAGATGGACCCAGTGACCTTACTTATCCATAATTATCTTGTGACCGTATATTTTTTTTTTTAAATCTCATGCCATATATTGTATTTCAGGCTGAGCTAATTCTGTTGCTAAGGGTTTATTAATGACTGAGAGATGGAAGTCACAAGTAGATCATGAGGTCTCTCTGCTTGCCTGACTTGTGAATTAAACTATGTTCTGTGTTCATCCTTTTTAAAGTTTATTCACAAAACTGTATGTTCCATGGACTAGGATATCTTTCCAATCCACATGTGTAAATTTGCGGTCTTTCTGGTTGAAGTTTGTTAGAAATTGTAAAAGTTGAGAAAAAGTTTTAAGTGTATCATTCCATTCTTTTACATGATATTGATAGTACCTTGTTTTATCTCGAGCTGCTTTAAAAGGTCAGATTTGAGAGCTCATGCTATTGCGGTCTGTTTCTAATTAACTTGTCTGAAGTTCAGTTCTTTGCTGTTTCCATTTAGACTGAGCATCCCTCTTTATTTTATGGGCTGTCACATTGAATCTAAAACATATTTTATCAAATCTATTTGTTGTTCAATGTGGGCTTGAGCTAGCCTTCCTTTCGGACAGGTTGCTATGTGTTAGTTTGTTTAATTTTCTTGTAAATAATACTATGTTGGGTGAAGAATGTGTGATATTTACCTTGGTTGCTTTGCAATTGTGTGTGAAGGACTGATTAATTGATTTGCTGCTCTCAAAGAGCAAGCAACTTGACTACTGTATCCAAGAAAGATGCCCTTTTTTGTGTTTTATAAGCTGTGCAGTAGATCTATGTGCTAATGACTGGATTTGTCCTGCGTCATTGTGTGCCCAAGATAAAATAACCTGTTGCAATGGACTTGGTTACTTTATGTTTAGGACCATGGGTGAGCGAGTACTTGTTATTGGCAGCGGGGGACGTGAACACGCCCTGGCGTGGAAGCTGGCCCAGTCACCACATGTATTGCAGGTTTTCGTTGCCCCTGGAAATGCTGGAACAGCTGAAAATGAAAAAATCTCCAATTCAGGTGAGGTGTTCTTGTTGTTACCCAATTCTGTTTCAGATGATGCGTTTAACAGTACTACATATTTTGTTTTTAGTGTGTGCATATTATAATCTAGAGACAGAAAATGAGTGCACAACTAATTTATAATTAAATTGCTGTAGTCAATTGTGACCAGAAAAGGGGAAATACTTTTAAAGTACACGGGTCAATATGATTTTGTTCTTTGGCATTTTCACCAGTGATGATCCTAAATACGCTGGCATGGAATTTTGGGTTACAGATCACTACCGTTACTTTGCAAAAACTGTTGTAGTCATCACAGATCCAGTTGTTAAAGGATCAGTGGTTTGACATGACCTTTAACTTTTTCTGCATTTGACAGTAAAAATGGTTTAGAATGCTAAGTTGTGTTGAACAAGACGAAACTGACTTTTGGTAGTCGTTCATTCATTCGTGTGTGCTCCAACTAAAGGCAGACGTTAGACTCATTATCTTCTGAAGCTTCATCCTGACCCATTTCCTTGACAAATTTTTGTGAAGAGTTGTTTACCACTGCATTCTACTCTGAGGAGAAGGTTGAGGTTTTAGATTGCAAGTCCTCCCCATCCAGTATAGGAATTGAACCAGTGCTATTGGTGTTTATTCTGAACCACAGACTAACTGCCTAGACAAGTAACGTTTGTGCCATAGAAGTGCCTGACAGTGACCATCTCCAATGAGAGTAAGAGAGAGAGAGAGAGAATCTAACCGTTACCCCTGAAGACATTACTGAATCCTCCACTATTAACATTGTGGGGTTAACATTGACCAGAAACTGATCCGGACCAGCCATATAAATACTGTGGTTACAAGATCAGGTTAGAGACTGGAAATCCTGCAGTGACTAACTCACAACCTCTTAACTCTCGAAAGTCTGTCCACCATCTACAAAGGACAAGTCGGGAGTGTGAGGAATACACCCACCTTGCCTGGATAAGTGCAGCTCCAACAACGCTTCCAAGAATGTTGATTTTCCATGAATTGAGAAAGTGGGATTAGGCTGGGTGGTGCATTTTTCAGCCCACACTGACCCAGTGGGCCAAATAGCCTGTCTATGTGCCACACACTTCCCATGATTTTAGGAAGCTCAGCACAAACCAGGAAGACTGTCTGATTTGTGCTCTGTCTAACACCTTCAGTATTCGCTCTGCCCACCAAATGCGGCAGTGTGCACCTTCTCCAGGATGTGCTACAGCAGTTCACCTGCACCCCTTCAACAGCACCCTCCAAACCTGTGACTTTTTCAGCCTAGAAGGACGTGGGCAATATACACTCAGTCAGGCGAGTTTATGCTTGAAGCAGATGGGATGAAGTCAGTAAATTTTCTGACTTTCATTTCAGATTTCCCATTTTCACCTTTTTAAAAAAATCTAATTTCTTAAGAGTTAGAGATTGCAATCTGATCTTTGGATTTTGGTGACCATTGCGAAACACTGACATTGTTCATCTGGCCTCCTGAACTGAACTGAAAATCTCGATGTAGTAATGTGTTTAACTGAGTTATAGATAGCCCTTTTTGATGTTGACCATTTAGTAAATCAGTAAATGACCCTTTTTAAATAATTTAAATGTTCAAGGGGAAAAAAAATCTATTTGAACAAAACCTTACTAAGTGGGAATTAGTGTCTCACGTTTTTGAATTCCTATGGATTAAAATTGAAAAATTCATGACAATCAATTACAAATCAGAAATGCTGGGATCCAGATCATGAGTTTTGAAGTATCTGGGTCACAACACAAAGTAAAAATATGATTTGCTACATTTCTCTGACGCACTGTCTTTGTGTGACTGGGACGGTGTCATCTTTTTGTGCAAGTTTCATGAACACCAAAGATTGGGGCTTATAGCCGCTGCATGAAGCTGATGAGTAGAAGTGTGAGATTAGTTTTAGTAAACTGTGAAGACAGAAGGTCAAGCCGACAAAAGCAGGTCATGATTTTATGCACTGGGGACGCAAATTGTTTTTCTTCTTCTCCTTGCAGCTGTTTCTGTCAGCAATCATGCAATTCTTGCTCAATACTGCAAAGATCACAATATTGGCCTGGTGGTAGTTGGACCAGAAGCTCCACTCGCTGCTGGTAAGTAAAAGGACCTCTGAGATTATTCCACAGGATAGTAGCTTTCCACAGCTTGAGGAGGTCTGTTTGACGTTTGTGTCAGTATATTTTAGAAGAATGATTAGCTCTCTTTAAGATGAACAGCCTTAAAGGGGAGCAAAGAAATAACAAAACTGTAGTGTTCTGAGGAAGGTTGACACTGCTTTTTCTCCAGAATCGTAGAACTGTTATGGTGCAGAAGGAGGCCATTCAACCCATCATGCCTGCACTGTCTCTCTGAGCATTTTAACATGGTGCCAATCTCACGTATTTTTCCCCCGTAACTCTATACATTGGATAATTTATTTAAACATAAACAGCACCCTCTTAAATGCCTCAATGTAACTTGTCTTGTGACACCAGTTTTGTGTCATCTTCAAACACTGAAATTGATCCATGTACCCACAATGTAGCTCATTTATAAGGAAACTCAGGAACACCATATTGATTTATTGGGAACCCCACTACAAATCTTCTTCCAGCCTGAAAAATACCAGTTAACCATTTACTCGCTGTTTTCCTATCCCTCAGCCAATTTGTATTCATGTTGCTACTATCTCTTATTCCATGACCTATCACTTTTCCTCACGTCTGTATGTAGCACTATATCAAACACCTTTTGGGCATCCACATCAAAAGCCTTCTCTTCATCAACCCTTTCAGTTATCTCTTCAAATAAACTCCAGCAAGTTAGTTACAATTATTTTGCCTTAAAAAAAAAATCAATGCTGCCTCTTCTGAAACAGCATACATTTAGAATCATACAATCTCTACAGTGTGGAAGCAGGCCATTCAGCCCAAAGAATCTACACCGAACCTCCGAAGAACATTCCACCCTGACCCACCCCCCTACGCTATCCCTGTAACCCTGTATTTCCCATGGTTAATCCATCTAGCCTGCACATCCCTGCACACTATGGGCAATTTAGCATGGCTAATCCACCTAACCAGCACATCTTTGGACTGTGGGAGGAAACCGGAGTACCTGGAGAAAACCCACACAAGCATGGGGAGAATGTGTAAACTCCACATGGACAGTCATCCAAGGCTGGAATCAAACCACTGAGCCTCTGTGCCACCCGACTTTTCCATATGGCTATTAACTGTTTCTAGAAGCTGCACCACCGCTGATGTTAAACCTGCCCCTTCCTTCCAGTGACTGAATTTCCTCTGTGTCACCATGGCCATTTTGCACTAGTCTGATGTTGTTCCTGAACAAGTTGGTGTGGTGTCATGGCCCTGGCAATGCAGCTACATTGAAGATATGGATTTTAATAGCTCCAGCTCAGTACTTCTGTACTGTTGACACCCACAGTTTGACAGCTCAGGAGCTCTGGCTTCGTACGGTATCTAGGCTCAGCACCTTCACCAAAGTGAAACATAGTTTGTAAAATCAGAACTCTTGTTGTGAAAGTGCAAGTCCTGATAGGGCAGAAATGCCGTGTTGGAGCTGGTACAATTCATAAACCCCCTGCAGTTATATCCGCCAGAGTGCTAGTGCCACCACAGCTCCCTCAATCTTCGCGAGGGCTCAAGAGAAGTGAAGAGGCAAGTGGCAGGCTGAGTGAGGCTAAGGACTGGTGAGAGGGTGAGTCTGGGAGTGGCACAGGCTGCAATTCAGAAGATCAGTGAGAAGCAATGTCTGCAGCAACAGGGTGGTCAGCGTGGGAAATGTGGTGAGTGGGAATTTCACCAAGCAGGATAAGCAGTAAGAGCAAAGCAAGGAGAAAACGACCATCTTCCCTTTGTGGTACATTTTAGAATTCACTTTATGTTGAAAGGTTTTTCATTTACCAACATAGGAACTTAGCCATACAAAAAATTCAATTTACAGGGTATGATGCTTCAATGCATTGCCTCTGATGAAAAATGTTCTGTAGGACCAAACTGCAGCTTTTACTGTGGTTTAAATGGGAAAATAGAATTCACTTAAAGTCGTGATTTTTCAAGAAATCAACAACAAATTTAAGTGAAGACGTGTGTCCATGAAGATGGGAATAGGGGAAATCATGCAGGATTTCTAACCAATAGCTGGCCATTGATATATGTAAGATGAATGTTATCTGAGCTTAAAAATTATATCTTCCTTCTGTCCAGTTCTCCCCCTTCAGTGTTCTCCACATCTGAGTTTAGACGAGAATCAGAAGGCCATTCAAGAACTTCAAATAATCTGTTTAACTGTCTTGCAGCATTCACCATCTGTTGGTTTTCTGACTCTTGATGTTCTTTAGGAATTGTTGATGACCTAACAGCTGCAGGAGTGAGATGCTTTGGTCCGTCAGCAAAGGCAACACGACTGGAAGCTAGCAAGCATTTTGCTAAAGAGTTCTTGGATCGACATGCTATTCCTACTGCTCGATGGAAAGCTTTCACCGACCCTGAGGAAGCATGTGGTTTCATCCAGCAGTAAGCAGGACATTCATCTACATAGTGCAGGCATTAAATTGAGATTTTGTTCTTGCATGTTGAAGGCCTTCCCATTAATGTTGATGTGATATATGACTGAGCCTCTGTAATTCAGTGTTTGTAGCTCCACAGTAAATGTCAAGACTGAAAGCTGAATATTTTAAATGATGTCCTTGAGCCCTGACTTGCAACTAAATCTCAACTGCCATGTAAAAATTAGATTTATCTGCCTCCATGTTTTTGCCAATCGTGAAACCCAAATCGCACTTCTTCACAAATTTTAAGAAAGTTATTCAAGAGCTGCATAACTGTGTAACAAAATAGATTTGATTTAAAAACTGCAGCAGAACACAAGGTGTACATCATTAGATTTCTTGCTTTGTTCTAGATTACTTCCTGGGCGTACAAACACAATATATTACTTGTTTGAAAAGCCTCAAAAATCGGGAATAGGATGTATGGTACAAGAAAGGGAGGGTTCCAAGCAAGGAAATCCCATATATTACAATTAATTAATTGTTGCTTGTCTTTTAGTGCTGATTTCCCTGCACTGGTCGTAAAAGCAAGTGGTTTAGCTGCTGGGAAAGGTGTTATTGTAGCAGCTGATGTAGGAGAGGCTTGCAAAGCAGTCCAAGACATAATGCAGGTATGTTACCACTGAGTTTTTTTTCATCTAAGGCTTAATCCATTCAAAGCTATCTGGTTTTTGCTGAATGAAAGGAACATTCCTGATGAAATTCCTTTTAAGGCCTTCTCCTCCTGAAGGACTTCTGAGATGCTGTAGTCATTCTTTTTGCATGTAACTTTGGATACTGAGCATCTGCTTCATATCTTTTTGCGTTCAGTAAGTTGAGTAACAAGACTGTTGGAAGGAGAAATTAATCTGCTGTGCACAGACTTACCAGGGCAGGCAGTGCCACAGGCCACCTGTATTCTTCAATGACCTGCATGAAGAGAATTGTTCAGGCTTTAAATTGGAAACTGAAGGCAATAATGTGGCTTAAACTTAAGTTTATTAAATTTTTATCAGTGTACTAGATCAAATGTGGTTGTCACAAATCAGCTGAGATCTTTCCTGTCTGATACGCAATACACTGAACTAAGTGTACTTGTCTTTTCTTTCCAAAAGGAAAAGACCTTTGGTTCTGCTGGTGAAACAGTAGTTGTGGAGGAACTGCTTGAGGGAGAGGAAGTTTCTGTAAGTAAGGTTTATTTTGCCAGCCCAACACTGTTTGAAATTTATTTTCTGTTTATCATTGTCAACTTTATCCAATTGTATGTGTATGGGATATACCAAGAGCAACTTGGATAAATGTTTTACTGGGGTTGAAAGACTGGATCTCAGGAGAGGGTCATTCATTCACTTGTGGCATAGCACTTTTAATGATCGCTCCAATTTACTGCACCGCAGAATAATGGGAAATGAAGTTTGTACTGTGGAGTGATTTGCTGTAGCAGTGCCAAAGGCTCGTTGTCTAGTGATATTCTAGATTTAAGCAGCTTTAGTTTGTAAGCTCAATTAAGCTTGAATGTATCTTTTTGCATTCTTTTACTGTTTCCAGTGCTGCCCTAGTATGTGATCACAATTGGCTAAGATATTATGAATCTGTTTT